AACTTAGCGGCGTATTTGAAAGGACTTTCCTTTATTCTAACCAATTATGTAACTGAAACCACTTTCAGACAATGTGAGCATAAGACGTGTTTGCGGACTACTCCCACGATTTCAAACTCATGATCACATGTCTTATGTGTGTGAAAAAGATTTTGATTTTCTGAATATTTTAACCATTGACGTTTAGACATAAACCAGATGGTTTTCTTACGAAAGGAATGTGTTTTTTACTTTAGAACAGTATGACACTCCCAGTTCTGACAACTGCAGAACTAGATGTTCTTTCTGCCACCCAATTAGGATATACATGCCAGTCCAATTGTTGCGAAACTGACACGCTTAAAATGTGTCTGTTGAAAAATATGTCAGAAGAATTTAGCCAATGTGTGCCAAAACCAACTCACCTATCACATATATAATACCAAATGTTCACTGAATTTCTGGACTCGATCAGTTCTGAGTTCCTTTATTTCATTCCTGTGATAAAAAATACAACGACACATAACCCTATGAATGTAGTGGGGGTTACTTTACTGACGTATTTTTCTGTATCCAAATGAGGAATAAACTGTTACACGCATATCAAACGAACTTGAAATATTTTCACTGGGTACGCTTAAGTGTTATTTGTGTGCATTTAACTCTTTCGAGTTCGAGAGAGGACACTTTGTTTCTAACATCTCGCCAACTGGACAACTGCACATGTCTGTTCAGAATTAACATCACTGCCCGCCTTCTAAGACTTGTCTTATACTAACATCTTGACGGCACGGGGAAGTAATAACGTGTAAGGAAACTGCAAGTAGGACAGATTTTAGATCTGTAAGGATTCGTATATAGGTAATGATCTTGTGCCAGTCTGCTGTTTTACATACATCATCAAAATTCGATAGTTAATTTCAATTTCGGTCCCAGTATCATTTCTTAATGTGAGCGCATCATAGGTTTTGTTGTGTCAAAAGAGCTGAGCACACATGACCAAGGGGACACACGCGCCAATCATAAGGTGAAACAGAAAAGCCACGCAGACCAAGTTGGATATATCAAACAATAGTGAAATATCAGCACTACAGAAATCCGACTTTATTAGATTACTGTCTCATTTAGCAAAGAGCTAAATCCTTCATGCTCAGGTCAGTTTGAAAGGAAAAGGGAGAGGTTTCTGCCGATGTTGGGTGATCCTTCTCAATTTACTCGACAAATGTCTGGTCCTATAGAGAGAGAATTTGGGAACGGCAATCGATAGTTCACCCACGGGAAATGAACAAGTATGCTTGAAAAAATATGAATCACGGACGACTTCTTTAGGCTTTGATCTTATCTTTGGTGGGGGAAATCTCAGTGTACGTGCAGTTTGTCTAAAGGAGTCAGCATCTGTAATGCTATTGATGCCTAATATAAAAGTGTCTTATTGCTGTAGCAGAAACCGATACAATGGAATGTAAAGATGTAATCTAGGCACGCTAATATCTGCATCTGGGGACATTTCATTGCTTTTAGAGGGCATAATATGTGTCCAGAAGTTTACACTAGAAGACTCCAAATGAAGACCGTTACCTCAGTACACGAGATGTGAGAGACATTGGATACTTTGAAAACAAATAACATCAGACAAAGTCGATTCTGAAGTGTTCAGCCTCGTGTGCCGGAGAAAACAAATATCAATACATTCACAAATGACATCGTTTAACATCTATAGTTTTCTTCAGCTAAACTATTAAACCATATTTACAAATTGCTGCAATATTTGAATATTTCTCTTGCGTTATTGTTTATTCAACATACTTTAGTAAAGGTGCTTGTTATAACCACTTCGAAGACCATAATTATTGGACAAACAGCTGGTTGGACGTTGGACTCCATCATTTCATTAATTATAGCCCGACTACGATTTGTGCCGAAAACAGATCGATTGATTGCTCTCATAATAATACTGATCAAATATTATTCATAAACTGCCGGGCAAAAGAATGTATACATCCACGTTTGTTTGATGGTTGCTGGTAATGAAGTGGTCATCAATGGTGGTCTGTTTGATATTATAAACGGGTATTATAGCCGGGTTTACATCAATATGACTCTAGTAACTAGTGCCTGTGTGTGACTATTGTTGTTGTTAACGTAACTTCAGCTTTACCCCGACAACCAGTAAATGCTCATGTCTGGAGCAAAGAAACCAGTGATTGATATAACAACTTAGACATACAATCAGACAGTATCCAGGTCATTTAGTCGCCTCTTGCAAGTGTGCGCTGATGGGGACCATTGGAGCCTGGAAACTGATGTATGGACTCGAGAATGAAATACAACCACAAAAAGTATTGGAAAGATATCTTGCACAGGACCTATAAGGAGAAGCAAGTTTCAGTACATCATAAGAAACACGTTTTTTCAAGTCTCAGCATACGCATTTATGGCATGCTATCAAACCAATGCCCGGTTTGACATTATTTTCATTTTATCGTAACATAATAATTGCATGGTTTGGTTTGTTGAAATTCTGCAAGATCAATATTTAAAAGAAGCTTTAAAGTATTTCTTTCTTTCTAACGCAAAACACTTGACCTAATGTTCTTTGAGATCATAAAATAGCAATGACGGGTTTTATCGTAAAATGCAGCAGTTCTTGGTTGCATGTTGTACAAGCAATAAATTCAAGAATTTTGCTACGCTTCGTGAAATATTACCAGTCCTTAATGGAATACGTATTAATATACAGTGGTTTACCATTAGAAACCAATGCCACCACAATAAAAGAGTGATTGTAAATTGCATGAGGTGATCCGTGGAGAGAGAATCCTGCTGTGCGCAAGGATCACTTGCAAGGACTAGTCGGACTAAAAAATGTTAGGAGTGTTTTACGAGAATAATGCTTGTGTGCTCTGGCGTCAATGTTATTGACAAAGTCGACCATTATTCTCTAACATGACGAGAAGAATTGGACTCGTGAGGCAGCAACATGCAGAGCACATTTTCTTTTGACAGTTTGCTTGTACACTGTCCGTTACATAGCGTGCCTCAACGGACCGCCTTTGACAGGCAGCTGAGTTTGAAGAATTGGGCATCAGAGACATGGGGAATACAGAGCATATGTGCAGCGTTTATCGCCGTTGCTTTGACCTCCGTGTCAGCTGTACCACTGTGGGACAGAAATTTACGATAAAAAGATAACTGTTTGGTGTATCGCTTTGCAGTATATAGTCATTTCAGTTGGCAATCTGTCGTTGGTGAATGGCTGTTTTGAGTTTACGACGATATAAACATAAAATGTATTTACACTGCATTAAATGTTCAACACCTACGTATTTCTATGTCATCTAAACTGTTGTAATTGGGGTATAGCTATCTGTACATGTGTTATTCCTGAAAGATGGAAATTCACCTTTCTGAAAAATGCATCCACAATGATAAATGCTCGATTTCGTGACCATTGACCGGAAACATGTCGAACACTTAGCTTTAGAAACGGTATACAATAAACCCACAAATACATATAAATCATGATCTGAAGATGCCCAGTTAACGCAGACACTTGTCTATACGTTGCAGTAACATGCACATAACTTAATAGTGGCCATATAATCTGGTGGGAATTTATGTTGAGCACGTCAAATACGATAATACAGTATTGTTTTACGATTCCATCGCTAACATGATAAACGAAGATGGCATGTATAGGTTGATACTTTCATAACTAAACAGCATTGCATTTGTCATCATATCCATATTGCAAGACAAGCAGTTTACATGTTAAATGAGTTTCATATTAGTGGCGGACGTTGGGTTATCCCTATCTCGCTCATCCCATATCTTTTCCATCACCCACTCCTTTCTCCCCCGACATGGGATGACGTTCGCCAGCATTTGTCAAACAATATGGAGGGAAGGTCCCAGCAAAAGTGATAATCAAAAGAAAAAAACAATGCATCAGGCGATGAAGCTCATTTTGAAACATTCAGCTCTTCCCTGGAACGGCTCTGAATACACGAGGCAGATGTCCCTACAAGGACGCCGCGAGTATCAGGGATGGATTCGATCTTCTCAGCTTGGTGTGCGCGGCGTTATGAGGTCATGCTCTGTAGAAGACTGATCTGTGAAGTGCCAAGGGGTCATGGTTTCCTGCTGAATGATGATACTGTTGGGATGATGCAATGGCCGTGTACTGGAAGCCTGTTGTCTCTTTCATCATATTCACTGTCAGCTAGTTTTGTGGTTTCTTGAAGACCCTATCAAGTGATGATGGTAGCCTGAACACCGACCCAGTGTTCTGTCACCACTTGCTTCAATATTTACATGAACTACATTCCCCTATGTTTTGTATACATTGTATGTTGTGCTATTGCGCATATTGGAAGTCCAAATGTCACAGCAGTTTGAATGTATTAAATATCTCTATGTCTATACACTTGTCGATTAAATAAGTTTTCAACTTCAAATAAACACAAATTATGATCTTTGATTTTTCAGCATTATGCCATTCTCGTGGAAGTGTCCAAATGGGTATGTGTCTATAATAAGGGTTTCTCCTATAGCGAGTTACTAACATGGGTTTGGTATTCGTTCTGCTGTAGTGACTTAAATCATTGCTTGACATCGTGCCTCAACAGCTGAGACGCTGTCGAAAATAACAACAGCTACCAACAGCGATGAACCACAGGTTTATCCAGATTAGATTACTTGTATGCCGCTGTGAAATACCATTATTCACGCATTTATTCGTGACTCAACAAAGTAATACACTGTCACAGTAATATGCTGGTACTTCACGGTTGTCCCTACTGCTTCACGTCACCTGAGTGACAGAATCAGGGCATGTAGAAAGTTCTCAGAACGTATTTCTTCCCAGATCATTAGTATACCGTGTAGATATCCGAACGTATGGTCAACTTCTCAAGATATTTAATACCTGTAGTAGTGCAATGGGTTTCGGACATAACAGCAATCCTTCTTTTCGCTACATACTGGAAGTATCCATTCTTTATGAAAACACACACAAAAAATATTTTATCAAAATAGTTTATTGTTCTGTCATGCCTGTTATGTACATCCATGGAAAAACTCTGTAAAATTTGCAACTTGCACAAAATGGCACAGAAAGCTATACATTAATATGTACATGTGAACAATCTTTGACACATAGATGGCAACACGATAAGCACATAATATTGCACAGGAAGCAGAGATCTGCGTTACGCTTGTACCTGATACGGCTTTGTAAGAAGATCATTAAGCAGGTCAGTGAGGAAGATGAAGTCAATCTACATATATAACTACTTTATAAGTATGAAGTATACCTTCGATAACACTGATGTACGACAAGGATTATGAACAATGTTTAATTTATCATGTTGGAATTGATACGCACCATAAAGCGGTAATATTAGAATGGAACACCCATGACTAAACATTTAAGAATCAGACTTACTATAGACTTAAGATTTCGGTTAAGAATTAAATGGATGTAATTAACCTTCTTGTGAATAATTACTTGATTGTATATGTTAGCGTCATTGGCCTTTTGCGATTAGTTTCTGAATGATTTAACATTGACGTTACGAGGCTCACAATGGAGCAGGATATTGCCCACCGTTACCAATGAGAACGATTGCGTTTTGACTGACGAAACGCTGTCATATGTGAACATCATTCCACAATCATATACGTACCATGAAGGTATCTACACCATTGTGCTTAATGCCATGAAACATACTGCATTAACCTATCAAGACCATAAAGATTACATGTCCAAAGCCACGGCATGTGTATTCAGTAGCTATTACACAACCATGATGAAAAAACATTGCCAGTCAGAGGAGTCGGATTAACGCCTCAATACAACTTAGTTCTGTGCATGGTACGCATGAACCTATGGCTGCTACAGTATTGTGTGTGTGCCAGTGATTGAGGACAGTCACAACCAAAACTAAAGAGAACACATATTCACATTAGGTCAAATGCTATGAAGAAATTCTTATGTTACATAATATACATCTAAAAGCATCTAATGATTCTACAGCAGTACTCCACTGAATACTGAATATTTGTCATCAGCGTATGTGTGTGTATTGACTTAATGAATAGAAATCATAGCCAGATATGAGCGTATGTCGCACAACTTTCGAAGGACGAATGAGTGAGGAAAATGTACAGAAAATTAATACGTTTCAATAATGGAAGTATTTCATGTGGATTCTCATTCAAGGAAACCACCTGTAAGGGACTGATATCACTGAACAAATATACACGTCGATCGAAACCAGCTCAACATAATACATGTGGTTGTAGATTTCATGCAATATAATGGTACCAAGATAAATTGTACATATCTATACACAGGACGCATTATAGCCAAAATGGCATAATGATTATAAAAAAACAAACAATCCTTGCTATAACTGTCTTTGAATTGTGATGGTAAATTATGTACACATAACTAAATGTTAAATCGTCAACTTAGCTGCAAAACACTTTACAGCCAATCATTAATAAATTTAAATGTTCACGAATGAGCAAAGTTAACATTGATTTGTGAACATCTAATTTCAAGACTCATATTCTGAAAACCACATCAACTGTCAATATTCTTGATTTTAGTATTTCTATAAATTAGCATTTCAACGTGTATTATCAACTCTTGTGCCCGAGTTTAAACACAGTTTCTCATCATACCATAAGAGGTAAATTCGACGTCTTGCACTCACGTTGTACAGGATACATATGTTCGACTCAAAGGGAGACTACTTAATAACAGTTATATAACACGGCCTGTGATGATCCGTTGTGTGGGCATGGTCCAGTGGAGAAGTGTGAACGCTTCTACTTTATTCAGTTTTCACGGCATTAGTTTAACTATTAAAACACTTGTTCAAATATTCAACCCTATTTCCATGCATGATGAAGATGAACCCCTCACAGGATCTCTGGTAGCTGGAATGGTACTTCCAATGTAATTTATTGTACTCGTTACTTGTACATGTGACGATTCACGCAAATCTTGCAGAGGTGCCTTACATGGATGACTTTCAATGGATGTTGATGGCAATATCTGTCACCGCGAAATTATAAATGGATAAGGCAAATCACTGCTTATCCAAATCCATTCCAATTGGTCCACTTGTACGAACCAATGCATGAGATACATACATCCTTTAATAATCGCACACATGTCACAACGTGTTCATAGCTTGCACCAGTGTAATTGAGTACATCACACACAGAAAAACAACTGTACTTGGAATGTTGGGTATCCCTGCTTGATTGTCGTACTTCATAGAACCCGGGCTATATACCCCTGGAAAAGAGAGAAAATAGATGATTATACGCGAAAACTGCATTGACTAAGAAGTAATTTTGTTTCGGTAAAGTATTACGCCAGTCAGCAGTACCACCGTGTGTGTGTGCGTGCGTGCGTGCGTGTGGCGTGCGTGTGTGTGTGTGTGTGAGAGTGAGTGAGTGAGGTTAGTTTTACGCCGCTTTTAGCTATATTCCAGCAATATCACGGCGGGGGACACCAGAAACGGGCTTCACACATTGTACCCATGCGGGGATTCGAACCCGGGTCTTCAGCGTGACGAGCGAACGCTTTAACCACTAGGCTACCCAATCGCCCCCGTGTGTGTGTGTGTGTGTTTGTGTTTAAGTGTGTGTGTAACTAAAGAGGTGAAGGTCAACAGTGTACAGCAGTACAGATGTAAAGAAAGACAGAAGAAAATGACAAAACCCGAACATCGCTCCTACGCGTTTCAACTTTGTCCTCAGGGAGAACACAGGTACAGCTGAAACGCGTAAGAGGGAAAATCGCTATCATTATTTTGGGGATTTCTTTACATCCACCCATCCACCCGTCTTCACAAGGGGTTCTATTGTTTAACTATTACACCATAAATCATTTTATGCATAACTTCAAACCCCATCCCTCGCAATTGCCCTGATTCCCGACATTTGCATTTCGATGCATGCATCCTCCCTCACCCGTAAGACTAGCACCTGTGGGATTCTTCTTGACGGTGGGTCCACTTTTGGGTGCTTTTTTCCCAGGGAACGTTCCCTCCCTATGTTTTCCTCGGTCACCTTTAGGCCATGTTTTGGGGGGAGGGTATTCCTTCCCACCTTCACCGCTGAAGAAAATGGTTTGCCTGATGAGCTGTGTTGTTGTAGGTGGCGTGGTTGTTGTCGTGATGGGATATACCTCTGCAACAAAAAGTCAATGCATAAATAAAAACTTTGGAATTGCTGAATGTGCGTCTTTTGGAGAGGGGCGGTGGGGTAGCCTAGTGGTTAAAACGTTGCTCGTCACGCCGAAGTCCCGGGTTCGATTCCCCACATGGTGTCCCCCGCCGTGATATTGCTGGAATATCGCTAAAAGTAGCGTAAAACCAAACACACTCACTCTTTTGGACAGAGAGTGCGGACTGAAGTTTTAAGTTACTGAATCTTTATTATGCATGAATGAGCGAGTGTGTTTAGTATTACGCCGCACTCAGCAATATTCCAGCTATATGGCGGCGGTCTGTAAATAATCGAGTCTGAATCAGAAATTCCAGTGATCAACAGCATGAGCACTTATAGTGATTTACTCTGATCATTCAGTGATGATTTTAGTTGTAATTGTATGTGATCCATTCGTGCGATTAAGATTGTGCACCGGACCGTCGAATCACAGTTCCATGAACTGACCTGGGACCTGTGGGTATATCAATACCTCATTTTAAAGAGGATGAAAGTAGCTCATGGCATTACAAGTTTTGGACCGGGAAACCTTTATGCTGAAAACTACTTCATTCTGAAAACACCATGTTTAGTGTCATCGCCTATCTGCGTTTGGGCAAAATTTCGTTTTCATTATGGTTGTTAATGCTTGTGAAGAGAACTTATAAAAAGCAGAATTAGCTTTACATATTCTGTACGACAAATTCGATGTAAACACAAACGAAAGAACCATATATAGAAACCTATTACAAGAATGTAGATGATACAGGATCAAATCTAAATCCAAAGAAACCCAATATAGTGGTCATTTACAACACGAAAGATTCGGTCAAAAGAAAGACTCTTTGCCGTAGTTGTTTCCTGTACTGAAGTAAAGTTCTCATTGAAAAGTCCCCGCGGTGATGTAATGGTGTTGTTTCAAACGCATGGAGCTGAGGTTGCAACCCGTTTATAGCAAATTAGAAATTATATTCCCTATTGACGTTACAATATTAATAAATCCAAAGCAATATTCTCTTTGTATTGTCTGTAGTGTTTTGAAACACTGGTTACTGAAACCCATCTCAGTCATGGTTAGCACATGTACAAGGCATCCTACCGTACAGCTCCATCACTTCCGAGGCACTTCCCATGCTATTGGACGCTTCGCATACATATTCCCCAAAGTCATGCTTCTGAATATTCACTATCCTTAAGCTCAGTGTAATTGTTTGTGGGCCTTCGTTGTATACATCGAGTTCGTGTTTAAAATTGGGATGAAGTTGTTCTCCGTTCTTCTTCCACATGGTCACTCCAAGAGGTGAGGCGGTAATCCTGCATTCCAGTATCGTTTCTCTCCGTAGTTGTTGTCCGATCCGTGTCGTAAACAGATGAATTTCGGGTGGATCTGCAACACCATTGTACATGTGAGATATATCGGCTCCCATAATGGATTAAGACTTCCACCCTATGGACGGCTTTATAAATGTAAATAAGACTAACACAAGTAATTGCTACGTGTGGTTCATAACTGACAGGGACCAAGACTGCTTACAGACTGGCATAACCAACTTTATAACGATTATTGTAAACACAATTACATATAGTTGTGATAGAAAGGGTGTTACTCACAGTAAGCCTGTTACTAAGAGTAAGCCTGTTACTAAGAGTAAGCCTGTTACTAAGAGTAAGCCTGTTACTAAGACTTAGCATGATACTAAGAGTAAGCCTGGAACTAAGAGTAAGCCTGGTACTAAGAGTAAGCCTGGTACTAAGAGTTAGCATGATACTAAGAGTAAGCCTGGTACTAAGAATAAGCCTGGTACTAAGAGTAAGCCTGATACTAAGAGTAAGCCTGATACTAAGAATAAGCCTGGTACTAAGACTAAGTCTGGTACTAAGAGTAAGCCTGGTACTAAGAATAAGCCTGGTACTAAGAATAAGCCTGGTACTTAGAGTAAGTCTGATACTATGAGTAAGCCTGGTCCTAAGAATAAGCCTGGTACTAAGAGTAAGTCTGGTACTAAGAGTAAGCTGATACTAAGAGTAAGCCTGGTACTAAGAATAAGCCTGGTACTAAGAGTAAGCCTGGTACTAAGAGTAAGCCTGATACTAAGAGTAAGCTGATACTAAGAGTAAGCCTGGTACTAAGAATAAGCCTGGTACTAAGAATAAGCCTGGTACTAAGAGTAAGCTGATACTAAGAGTAAGCTGATACTAAGAGTAAGCTGATACTAAGAGTAAGCCTGGTACTAAGAATAAGCCTGGTACTAAGAATAAGCCTGGTACTAAGAGTAAGCCTGGTACTAAGAGTAAGCCTGGTACTAAGAATAAGCCTGATACTAAGAGTAAGCTGATACTAAGAGTAAGCCTGGTACTAAGAATAAGCCTGGTACTAAGAGTAAGCCTGGTACTAAGAGTAAGCCTGATACTAAGAGTAGCCTGATACTAAGAGTAAGCCTGGTACTAAGAATAAGCCTGGTACTAAGAATAAGCCTGGTACTAAGAGTAAGCTGATACTAAGAGTAAGCCTGGTACTAAGAATAAGCCTGGTACTAAGAGTAAGCCTGGTACTAAGAGTAAGCCTGATACTAAGAGTAAGCCTGATACTAAGAGTAAGCCTGAGTACGAATAATGGCACAACCATACGATACTATACATTTGTGAGTATAAGATAACAAATGCGCGTTACCAATTCCCTCACATTGGCCATTGAATTACATAAATGTCGATGAGATTGAAGCTGAGACAAAGGACTCACACTCGACGGTAACCTTGATCTGTCTGGTTCTGGCAGGTGGCACTGTGTTGTTGGCCACGCATTCATAGGTATCGGCACACACGCGCGATATGTTGCGAATCAGCAGTACTTGCCCTTCGTGGCCGACCTCTGCAAAGGCGAATTAACTTGCTTAGAAATGTTATTACTGTTTGTTGCGATTTTATTAGGACATCTTGACAACCTTTGAAGTTAACAGCTTAGAAGTTATATTTATATATCTCAAACGCATAAAGAACCGTATCGACAATATAAAAAGAATATCACATTATTGGGCGTGGAGCATTGAAGGGGCGTTTGATCAACTCCAGCAGAAAGTAATTTAACATAGGGTATCTAATTTACCGACTTGATGTAATCTCAATGTCAGGCGAGAACCGTATGTATTAATTACATTTATAGCTTCCAGTTTCCAAATGAAGCAGGTGATGTATATCCCTCTCTTATCATGTCAGATTATCAGGCGATGAAGGGTGTGTGCCATAATTACAACTCTGTTCAGTGAACATTCCGCTCATATGACAAGTTTTAACATGAATGACTTTACTTCAGACATACTCCTTCTTACACTTTCGGTGATTGTGGGATGTTTGCTGTCATAAGACAACACACGAAAACTAGTCAACTGACCTCATGTCCTAGTGCGTAACACGATAACGACTTGTCCTTCATACATGACCTTCACCTTCAACCGACTACAGAAGGGGTATTTCAAGGAATGGTCTTAGGTGTGACTGTTGACTTTACTTACTTTCCTTCTTCTTGGTGCTCCAGACATTGAGCCTGTACCAGGTGATTGTTGGTGTGGGGATGCCGGTGGCGTTACACATCAACTCAACGCTATCACCTGTTCTTGCTTTCACATCATCGGAATCAGAATAATCAATTATATTTGGAGGAACTGCAATGAAAACAGATCCAAATGAAGTTACATATAACTTAATGAGATGTATTTGGCTGAACAAATTCGTAATAATTATTATGTATGTATCGGTTGCATTGTTTACAGAGACGCAGGTGATTATGCATACCTTGAACCACAAGTTTGACCCTTTTAGATCTGACTGGGTCTGTATTTATTTGACACTTGTATTCCCCACTGTCCGTGACGGACACATTCCTGATGTGGAGATTCCAGTCGCTGACAAATGGCCTTTCAACACTAATGCGCATGTCTGTTAAAACCCTTCTGTCCTTGACACTTATGACAGTCTGTATGGGATTCTGCCACAATACCTATCGAAAAAAATATAAACACTGTCATTAGACAAATAGTTCAGATAAAATCATTTGGTAATAACATGCACATACAATACAGTTCCATGTCACCACTCCATGTCACGTTAAACAGGCAACGTCGAAGATCTCGAACACCTCATATCTTGTTCTGTATTCACTTACAGGGATGGCTGGCTGTAATTATATTTACATACCCATCCATACAAGTATTGCTACATTAAGAGACAGGGTGAAACAGGACATGCTTCATCAAAAGAGGGAAATGGCGCTTAAAGTTTAGAAAGTTTTGCACCATATTATAATTGCTGAGGACAAGTGATTGTCGTGGTATTTCAGTCCTATCCTTTGGGTATCTTAATGTAATTCAATGTACACGAGCTATGTCATGTTTCAGTAGCCTCATTAGCGACAAACTCTGAACAATGTCGTGATCAATGCTCAATTGCCCTTCGGGGTTGATGGCCTAAGCAGTTGAAATTTGAAACTAAATGTCAGAGACCGATATCAATCGTTTCATTCTGATATATGATTAATCGTCACCTTCCAAACAGTGCGCCTGATAATGCAGCGAATATATCTAAAGGCTCTTTGCTTTAGGTACATCAAGTGTAACCTTTAGAAGACAAATCAGGTACGATATAAGACGAAGCACACATCGAATTTAGATTAGGCAGCTTTGATAATAGGGATGGGGATATTTGGGATATGACTGAGGAGATATGGAGTTTCTGCAGATTAATTGTTCACATAATTATTAATATTTCAACTCTCAGGACATCTCGATGTCGCTTGGTAGGGATAAATGATCAGAATTATATTATATCTAACACATTTCAAAGTCATAGATACTCATTGTTTATGAGTTAAAGTAAAGAGGACGCAATAGATAGAATGTACAAATGGTAAATGTTTGTAGATTAACAGGTTAACGAGTCACTAAGCCGTGTTATGTACTATCCTAGGAATACTTATCACAAATGTACACATGTACGGGATGGTACGCCCATAGAAACCTACCAGATATATTAACCAGTGCTACTAGCCAAGTCCTATATAAATTTGCAATGCGCTCGATGCATCTTCCAAGGGTGTATCGTATACAACCTTTACGTCTACAAATACAATGTGTCGTGGTGGCAGTTAGTCTCGATTAAGTATCTGCCGCTGGAAATGAATTTTTCATCTTCCTCTTCGTAATTGATGATTTGCATCGAAATTACTTTTACTGGAATCTTCTTGGAAAGATATACATGTAAAGTTAATAATTACAAACGATACTGACATTTTGAATTTCTTATTTCAAAAGACATTTCTCGTCAATATTTGGTGAAATTTTCATTAAGATGCTTTGAAGACAACATTAACGATAAATTGACAGTCACTTGAGAGATTTAATTACTTTCCAATCTGATCAATACCCACACGAGACGAGAGCGAGTACAATTTCTAATCAATATAAAAGCTACACCTCACGACGTCTTTTATGTGGACGTCATGTTGCCTACTGTCAAAGTAGTCAATTCCTTGGGTATTGTATTGGTGTAAAAGGAACACATGACTATTTGTTTCCACGTTCTCTTGCTAATGATGATCCTTTGTATAATAAACTCAGTATGCATTGTCTGTACCCGAGGAATAAGGCATATTTGCCCAAAATGACGTCGTTCAAGCTTAGCGGTGGTAGAAATATTTAAACAGGAATACGTAAAGAAGATTTATGTCAGTTTCGTAATAGAGTTATAATTACCTAATGTTTGGCAACAAATGAACATCAAGGACGAAAATGAGATTAACGATTGTGGAGAGTGACAGTTATACGATTTTACAGACACGTGACATGGTACGCATGTTGGTTCAGACGTACTATAAAAAGCAGGAGGGCCATTTTCAAACAAACGCAAGGATAAAATTTAAAGTTCTGTCAATCTGATTAATATTATTAATGTAATAAGGTTTATGCATAAAGTCGATGAATGTGTATATTTAGTTATGTCTAGATTTGACGCACCCACGTAGTTTTTGCTGTGAAACATAGTATTAACGGGATCGTGTGAGAACAAGTCGTCTCAGGCAGTTTGATATACCGGTACATGGTCCTATGGCTTGCCTAGGCACATATCCAGAAGCATGCACGTCATCTAAGGCGCCCTTATTCGCCACTAGATTGCTGCGCCCCTTAATTGTTCTAAAGTGCAACTGTATTTTATGCTGCAGTTCATGCTACGTTATTAACAGTACTTTTCAAATAGACATAACACGGTTACAATTTGATTATAATTCCATGTTATTGAGATGCCCAATGACTGAAGCTGTTGGTGGAAATGACTGTAAAGCTGCATCAAACACACACACACACACACACACACACACACACACATACAGACACACACACACACACACATACAGACAACACATGCACAGGCACATCCAGACAACACATACACAGACACACACACTGACCATCCGATCCTGTTGATCACCTCTTACGACAAAGACAGGATGCTGAAGATCGGTTCAAACACAGATTTTCCAACTGATTTGTGTCTCTGAACATTTTCATTAGTATCAGATTTGAGAAGAGTTGATTTAGGGAGCATTTTTAAAACGACAACTCCATATGCAATAAACAAACATACTAATATAAACGTCTGTTTGGCATTGTGTCTAATAATGCGAGACATTTCTTACACTGTACTGGTCTGCATAGCCTTCTGTGTACTTGGGGTCCACAGAACATGGCAAGATGGCGGTGGAACCTGAAATGACCTTGACCGTGAGAGGTGTTTCGTCGATCACTCTGTCGTCTTGAGCAATTCCTGGAAGGAGAATATGTGATATCGTATACTCAGACACGACAATACAAAATATCTTTGTAACGGTGATATACACATCGAAGGGTAACCATATCTACAAGGTTATATTTCATTACTGGAAACATGACAACAATGCATAAGGTTTCACTGACGTCTCCTGAGTTCGTGACTTTTGAACAGGTAATTGATATCACCTAAACATTAAAAATAATGAAGATGTCAGATGTTTTCACAAATACTTTATATAAGAGTGGATATAAATCAACCATACCAAAATTAATGAATTGCGTCGCGTGGTCATCACACATATTAAATATTGAGGTACGTAATTACCAACACCGGCCTTTATCCTCGATAATACTGTTATGTTCCAGTTCATTGTCATTCAACCGACACTACTAGTATATTCACTGTGGCGTCGAGTTTCTCAACTTTAATTGTCGCCTTCTATATTTCGCAAAACTCTTCTAAGCTTTATCTCGCCAATTACATAAAGGTTTTTTCATGGGATAAATACCCTTGTCCTTCGTTAATAGATTAATTCAAACAAGACGAGGCTAAAATGTGACGTCCAGTTAAACTACATTTCTAGGCAAGAGGGAACCTGTGCTAAGCTAGAGATAGGAGAGATGAATGTCGTGACGTCACTTTCGAATCGAATTTAGGGTATTCATATTCATAAAAACCGAATAGAGATATCGTGCATTGGGTTACTGAGGTCCATTTTCTTGTGCTCACCTTCTAGATCTATGATATATTTATTGATTTTCCTCCAGTTGCATATGAAGACATTCGTAGACACACAGATCTGTTACCATGGTAATTTAATATTATTCGCTTCCGATGAAACTTTTTTATTTCAATTTAAATAATGCCATCTTCCGTTTCCTCACTCCTAAAGACTTGTTAATAGTGATGAGGTTTATCTTGTCCTTGTTCTATGAGTTGCAACACCACACACCTACAGGTTTTCAGAGATCAAAGTCTAGTATAGCACTGAGAAATATCATTCCTTTGATATAGGAATATTACCCGTAGGGGAAATAGCCCTATGTTCTCCTTGGACAATGGTACATTTGCGATACACTACTTCAATTGTATGCTTCTATTATAACATTGCAAAGATGCCTTAAGATACTCCTGTGTCTTCTGATTAACCCAAAGGAGTGATTCTAATTTATATCAAAGTGGAGAGCTTTGGTGAACAGCTAAGATGTCGTTCTAATGTTTAATTCACAACACGGCTTTAATGATTGGCTGACGTGTCTGTCCTCAATATAGGTGTTAAGACATTGACAGGGCGGTACCATACATGATCACCTTAAGACGACGACATATCAATAACATGATTTACGTCGGCCGCTAATGTAAATGATAAACAATACGGTTTTGACATCATGTAGCCTCTCTTCAAAGTCACAATATTATTGAAATTTTCTATCAGCCCCGCACAATAATGAAGACCCGCGTATTTAATTTTCAAAGTATGGTTTACCCTCAACAGCTACGACGGCAGGGGCCGCAAGCATTTCCCTTTGAGCGTACCATCAGATTGGCAAACAGTTGGAGACAACGCAGTTAAAGTCCCATTTCTACCATAACATTTCTGAAGCAAACTCCGCGGACATATAAAATCAATACGTCCACGAAAACACCGAGAACTGCTAATCAATGTACTTCCTCTTCATCCACATACGACACTTGCGTCAGTAGCATTTCTGTGTAAATGCCATTAAGGAAAATGTCATGTTAAATGAAATATACTTTGAACATTGAGACTGACATTTCGTGAAGGGTATACGTACGACAAATTACAAATCACTATGTCATTTCCTTCTGCAAAACTGTCTCAATTGAGCACTGTGCATGCACAGTTTGAGTATGATATGACTGCCATATACGAAGTCTTCTCATTTCATAGACTTATCTTTTTCATAGTTGTAAAGTCCAAGAAGGAAAGTTATTACTATCCAGATACTGGAAAAATTAGAATATGCTGGACGTTTCGGAATGCTGCCATATAATGTCGACGATGAAATATTTAAAGGTGGTATATATGAAAGGTCAATATGTATTTTCGTCGTTTCGTTTCGTGTCAAGTTGCACCAAACCACAAATCACGTAACTATGTACGTGTATGTATCCGAGTCAATCGACTCCGACAACAAGCTTTGTGAACTAAGGTGTGTCCTGTTACGAAATAAACCTGAGCAGCAATGACTTAACACCCTGAATTCATTTAGAACATTAATAACAAACACCTTGACCAGGACGTATACACAGGTGGCGACATGACACATCTGGAACTAGTACGAGAACACGCAGGGCATGTCCTGTGATCCCTGGCAAATTTTTTATTGTCTTTCATTGGGTAATACACTGTTCACAGGTCATAAATAAAATGACTGTTTTGTATAAAGTTGTCCTTTCCTCCTCGCAGCCATTCCATTATACTGTTCCCTCTGCTCGCTGAATGGCCAACCATATCAGAGGGTGTTGACGCATGTTATCACCAAGCAGTCGGATCGTTACTCTGTATAGATCCTTGAACAGCATGGCAACCGCTTCCAGTCTAGCCAGTGGATAGAGTTGCATAAATAGTGTACTCATGCTAATATAAAGTAATTGCAAAGTAAGTCGATTACACAAACATAATTCCCTATTCACAGTCAACAAAGGCAAATAATGGGTTATTCGGCACATCATAATGGCCAACACCTCGCGATATTGACTTGCGGGACTTCAAAGATTTGGCCAAATTAGGATGATCATATATTAAAGCATTAGGCCTCTCATACACCGTTATGAGCAAAGCGAAATTAAAAATTCTCAGAATAACAACCACTGCAGTGTTATAGAGTGTTGTTTTAAAAAGCAAAAGAAACCTGCCTTTGAACATCAAGCATGCCGACATGCTCAAACGGATGGTTTCTTCATAAAAGAGGTTTGACTTTCGCAATGGTTATATTATTGACTACAACGTGTAAGGCAAAACGGGAAACCTTTTCATGTATTTGAGTTAAAGTCGTGAACAGCACTTCATGAATAAATCAGTGAAACACATAACTGTAAAATTAAATCTTATACAACAAAACGATATACAGCGGTTTATAAGTACGGCTGGATACAGTGTCTTAGTAAGGAGTCACCAATAACCTGCTTCTTTGCATAAATACATCAACGTGAAAACTATCACAGTTTTAACATGTCCGTATGTATGTGTATCATATATACTAAATTACCATTGTAAGACATTGTTTATCTCCTCCATAGTGATAGATAAGACATCGAAGTACGGTTGTCATGTCACTGAGCCAGTTATTTTTCTTTATGTAAAGAGGATGTTCGTTTGCTGCTGGCACGATTATCTGATGACCCTGGTTGGCATCATTGACATTAAACATTGACAAGTCCCATTGTGACTTCAAATTTATGGCTGCCCGTATCGATGCGAACAACAGAACGTGACTCTCTTCCCAAGCTTAATAATTCAGACGATGCCAAACTGACAACATGCACTGGATCTCTGAAGAAATCTTGCCCCTTAACACATTTGGAATCGGTATCGCCAAACTGCATGCTCCTTCGTTATTATTATTGTATACTGCACTGTCTAATATCCTCAATAACCAACCACGTGACCCATATCGCGCTTCATGTCATCCAACATAAAAGCTACGTGTGTACCATATCCCTCAAGGGCGTGTCAACTCTTTACTTTGTAACCTGTTGCCAAGTACAAGGCCTAATGTCGTTGTATTGTGGATGATTTAGACAGGATGAGTGGCCCTCAATAATACCAGGTAAAAGTACATATTTCTTGACCCATAGTATCAATTTGGAAGATTCAAGTTAAGTATTTAACAGGGATTTGATTGTAACCTAGCCACGCAACACCTCGAGTTCGCTACAAAGCAAGATGACACATAGAGTGAAGTATATTATGATACATTCATCATAGATATACATCACTGGTGTGTGCTCATTTCACTGGCACATCATGTACATTATGTTGCACAATCGCATTGCCCTTTCTGATTAACAGAACCTTTTAATGTCACGAGGTTAAATTAATAATTTAATAAAATGGTTCGTGGAATAATTTTAGCTTGTAGTTTTTGTGAAAGGATTATATCTGCATGACAGTATATCACGGAAGGCCGGTGTTCATTAATTGTTCATGTTACTTGACATCGATTAAAATTCGTGATGGATTGGAAACAACAGCGACAAAACCGTTTCCATGGTCATAATATACGTTAAACACACACCAAACACGCATAATATGTTGATATTGTTGGGCGGTGGGGTAGCCTAGTGGTGAAAGCGTTCGCTCGTCACGCCGAAGGCCCGGGTTCGATTCCCCACATGGGTACAATTTGTGAAGCCCATTTCTGGTGTCCCCCGTCGTGATATTGCTGGAATATTGCTAAAAACGGCGTAAAACCATACTCAGTCAGTCAGTTGATATTGTTAAATATCAACGTACCAACATGTTTTCAAGGAACGACTTAGTATCCTTATTTTTCGGTTGACAGTTTGTCATGGATAATTATTCTAAGTACATCTTGTCAGTGAGTAGGCGATTCTTTTCAACATATAGAGTGGAGGTCGAATATGACTGAGGTGATAGTCCAAAGGGACACATGTCGTACATGGCAGTAACTCAGGGTGAGTCTGGGATTCGAACGAACAACCTGCAGATTCGGAGGTGTCAGGCATATAATTCAAAAAATATTTCAGCTGATGAATATTGTTCATTAATCGAAATTCGCTTTAGCTCACCTTATTCTGCTATCCTGGTCGAGTGCCACAAAACTCTACTTGAATATGGTGTATGGTGTTATTTAAACGAGATTGGGGCAGATGCGCTGGGATGGATGCATACTGTTATGTAACATGTGAGTTGTGTATCCATGTTTATACTATGATGTGACAATGCGCATGTACCCAATGTACCGTGTCACACTGTCATTGTTTGAGCTGATCTATCAATCTAAAGC